TTTGCAAAAAAAAAAAAAAAAAGGTAGAACGCACCCTGGGGGTGCGGTCTGCAAAACCGCTCCCTACCAGTGCGGTTTTCATCGAAAAACGCGCCCTCGGGTGGCGGTTTTACAAAAATGGTGCTATTTTTGGAATTTTTCGGAGTTGGGTGCTATTTTTGGAATTTATTTTTTAAACAGTGCTATTTCTGGAAAAATCTCAACAATAAGATGTAGCCTAGTGTTATAATGTTCTTTCTTCATTCAAGTTACCAAGGTTCGTACTCCAACGATAATATTTTTAATATATAAACATGAACGGGGTGCAATGACAAAAATGACATTCCTAAAATCACTCCCAAACCACTAAATTTGAAATGAAAGAATTTCAACCCATGTTTTGCCTTTATTTATTTTGTAGATATGAGTAAGAAAGAATCGGTAAAGAAATATATATTGTTTATATATCGATTTATGAGTAGTTTAAGAGGATTTTTTTTCACATTAGTTATCTTTTTAATTATTTTATTTTTGAAAAAAAATTCAACCAAAATAATTAAAAGCCTTTCAACATAACAATCTCACACACACGAATTGACCAAATCTTCTTCCCAACCCCTCCAAAGTTCTTCCGGCAAGCGTTGACGATGTTTCCCGTCATCACTATCCAGGAGAAGGTATGGCAACATGACGAGGACGATGTCGCCACTCTTGCAAAATCAGGCCTCGGTATAGTATGTTAATAATAAAAAGTCCAAGTAGAAAGGAAACAATTCTGGCGGTGATCATTATTATATGATAAAATACAAAATGAAATTTGAAGTAGATGAATTCAAAAGATAAATTCAACACATTTTTTTATTGAAATTTGATGTGGCAGTTAATGCGGAGTGTAAATAACGGTGTTCTTAACGACAACAAATCAAATAGATAAAAAATTTCAATGTTGTAAAAGGATTGACTAATATTCTGTCCAACAGAAAACATTTAGCTAATATTTTGTCAAACTAAAAAAATTTGGCTGTTAAATTGTGTTTATTCCGGAAAACAATACAATATCATTTTCTATTGGAATCTAATGTGTTGGCTTATGTGGAGTGTTGTTAACGGTAATAGTAATAGGTCTATAGATCAATTACTAAAATTTTGTGAAGTTATGAAAGATCTGACTATTATTTTAGATTTTTGGAAGTTAAGCTTATATTTTGTCACATGTTTAAAGAGTCGTTGCTCATTTTCTCTTTTAACTGCTCACTTGAAATTGTGACTTTGTTATTGGCTAAATTACATGTCTGATCATTCAAATTACATAAATCTTTCATGTTTGTCATCGGAATTACTTTTCCTCCATATTCACCACTAACTTTACAAATTGTTTCACCGTTAGTCACCGGCCGTTAGTCTCCGTTAACACAGTCAGTTTTTTGATGACGTTTCAAACGTAACTGTTGACTGGACCGTTAACTAATGACACGTCAATTTAAAAAATAAAAAAAGTTTACTCTAAACCAGCGATCAAGCTGCACTCTTCCGATTTCGAGCAGCTCCGACAGGTGGTCGCCGGCGGCTGCAACATTCTCGAAATTCTCCTTAATGGCCTCCATAATCGCCTTCAAATTCTTGTGCCTCGCCACCATTTTCATATCGGGCATCTCACTAGTCCTGAAACTCGCCGAATGCTTATGATTCTACAGAGGTTAATGCTTCACAAACTCTGCCCGCATCGATCCCGCAAAATTCAACCTCATCGCAATCTCAGATTTGGCCGCCTTGTCGTCGTCTTCTACTCCGCCGTCAGACAAGCTGGTTGTGCTGTAACAATCGTGACCCCCCCCCCCCCCCCCCCCCCGCCCACTCGCTACACTGAGCTTCTTCCTTCTCTTCATCGACGACATTGTATTGCTTGTGGGCTGTGGTGGGGTTTCCATCTGATGCGGGTTGCTCGACTTCTGGAAGAAATCGTACTCTAACCATTCGATTCCAGTCTGTCCTCCTGTCACCATCCTCATCGAGGTGGTGGCAGTTGCAGCCGTGACGGAGTTTGGTGATTGAAGAATTTGAAGTCAGGAGGGGAAGGAGGGTAGAAATTCTCCAGATCCAAATAGAGGAGGCCTGGGAGGGGTGCGAGAGTTGTTGGAATCTCCTAGGAGGGGGTTCGGGAGTAGTTAAAATCTGCTTGGTAGGCGGTGGGGAAGCCATAAGTAGCGGTGAAATTGGATTTCTCACTACTAATAGGGGGAGAGGAAGGGATGGATACGAAGAGGATGTGAGGGAGCTTGGGAGGCAACGGCGGCGGCGATTGGAAGAGGCTAGTGGCGGTGCGATTGGAAGAGGCCAGCGTCGAGGGTCTAGGTGGAGTGGATGTGAGGGAGCTTGGAGGTGGCGATGGAAGGGGAAAATAGAGGGGCAGGTGGGGGAGGGTGGAGGGAAGGGGGAAGGAGCAAGAGGAACACGTGGAGGATTAATTTTTTTTTTTTTAAATTTACATGTCATTAGTTAACCGTCCAGTCAGCAGTTTCATTTGCCATTTGAAAAACTAACGGAGTTAACGGGGACTAATGGCTAGTGACTAACTGTGAAACGATTTGTAAAGTTAGTGGCAAATAAGAAAGAAAAATAATTACGGTGGCAAACGTGAAAGATTTATGTAATTTGAGTGACCAAACGTGTAATTTAGCCCTTTGACATTGATGGTATTTATCATGGCTGTCATGTCAGTGGAATGTCAGCCAATACAACTGGATTCAATCGTAGGGATGGCAATGGGTCAGGTCGGGGGCGGATAGTGCATATCTGTTACACTACCCAAAAGAGTTCGGGTTTTACCCATACCCATACTCACATAAGAAATGGGTAGAAAACCAAAAGCATGCCCATACCCGTTCGGATTTCGGGTATGCACGGTTATCCATGGATAATAATTTCTCTTTATAACTTCAACCAATATGTTACCACTCACACATATTCTCACATTACATAAGCGTAAAAGTACGAGAATAATTCACTAGAATGAAGAAAATTAATTAAAATAACACAATTTCACGAAAATATTTTATTTATATGCTAAATATAAAATATGTTAGAGAAAATTAATGATTATTTCTAGACAAAATAAATATACATGTTATAATCGGGCGGGTTCGGGTTGGATAGTGAGAAAACCATGTCTATCCATTACCAGCAATATTCGGGTTCGGGTTTTACCCGTATCCACTAAAAGTTCTTCGGGTTCAGATTTTACCATACCCGATTAGATCGGATTCGGACGGATATCCATGGTTATGGATATTTTTGCCATCCTTTTTAACCAGCACCTATTACAAAACTGGGCAGAGACTTTCCCAATCAACTTCCGGTTTTTAAACAAATTGTCGTCCTTTTGGTGAGTTTAGGTAACAAAAAAAAAAAATTATTTGTTTCTTGCATTTGAAAGATGTTGATATTGTTTGTTGGATTCAATTATGAATATTTAGATGTTTATGTTATTTGTTGGATTCAAGTATAAATTTTTGGATGTTAGTTTAGAATGTTGTAGTTAAATATGATAATTTTTTTATTTTATTTAATATTTAATATTTTATTTAAATATGAATGTAGATTTTAGAAAGATTCTTTAAATGTCTAAGTTCATTAAGAATTTAATGAATTTTTACATTCCTAATCGTCAAACCAGCATTACGATATAAACCGGTTTGACATATTTACAGAGATTTGCATTATTAAAAATGATTTTGTGGATGCTAAGCTGAGATCCAAGACAAGATGATGATAATAATAGTAGTGACTATTCATCAATGATGCATGACTGAAATTTCTAGGTTGAGAAGACTTTGAAATATAAACAACCCAACGGTGCTTTGATTCTCCAGCAGCTCCTCTCTTTTACTTTTTGAAGTTTGGGTGCTTTTAAAAATGAAATCATGGTCCTGTGTGGTAGATGGTGAAGGGTATGCTAATCTATTCAGTATTATTCACCCAGCCAAAGAAAGAAAGAAAGAAACCCTAAAAAGAAAAGAAAAAGCTACCTGGGTGGGGGCGGGATGATGCTTGCTGCTGCTGCCTTAATTTGAACAAAGAGAAATACCAGCTGCAGAAGAAGGCAGAGAGAGGCTTTCTTTCAATCGTCTGCTCTTTTTTCTTCCTCATTCATATCAAACGAACACCTCAATTTGCTTCCTCCTTATTCTATATATACTCATATAAAAACTCCATCCCAACTTCCAGTTCCAATAACCCAGAACGCCAAAACTGTTCTTCTTGCCTTCTTCGTCTGCTGCTGTTGCATTTCATTTCATTCATTCTGGGGGGAAACTGAAACAGCAGCAGAAGCAGTGATGGGAGAAGGAAGTACCAGAACTTCAAAGCTCAAGGGACTCGCCAAGAAAATGGTGGTGGCTGCTTGCGGCTCGTTCTCCTCCTCTGCCAAGTCTTCTGCTTCACCTCTTCCTCGTTCCAGCATGCGTTCTACTTCTGTTATGGTAAGTCAATCAGTCCCGATCTTTCTTCTTCTGCTGATAAGTTGCTACTGCTGCTGCTGCAGCTTTCTACAAGTCTTCTACTTCCCTGCGTACAATATTTCAGAACAGAAAGTTTTTTGTTAGTTAGTGAATGAGTTTTACATATGGTGGTGGCCTTGGCATGCTATGGTATCCATCTTTTTTGACCTTTATCAGCCTTGTGAAGATTTTTCTGTCTGTCTTTGATCGTGATGATGATTACGCATTACCGTTTACTACACATTCCATCATTATTATTCCACTCCACTGCTCCTTTATTCACCTTTTTATTATAGTTAATAGTTGCATTTGGATATCATGATTACACATTACTGCACACTCCCATCATTCCCGCTTCACTAACTCTGAAAGTTCCCTCCTTTTGCTTGCTTTTCCCCCTCTCCTTTGATAAATGCACCCGCATTCCTCATCTGTCATGCATTCCATCTCCATTTTCCACACTCACTCTCCCTCCACCTTCCTTCTGATTCCCCTGCATATTCATACTACCACTACAACTCCTCCATGGCCATCAACGCACTCTTGCTGCTGCTGCTCAACGGTTTGCTAGTCATCGTCGTCGCGGGAGAGCAATTCCAACATTCTATAAAGACGGATGCAGCCGCACTCCTCATGTTCAAGCGCATGATCCACTCCGACCCCAACAATGTCCTCTCCGGCTGGCTCCCTGCTCACAACCCCTGCTCCTCCTCCTGGTTTGGAGTGACATGCTACCTCGGCCGGGTCACTCAGCTTGATCTCACTTCCGCTGCTCTCGCTGCCGATTCCATCTCTTTCGACACTTTCTCTTCTCTGGAACTCCTCTCCTCCCTCAAACTATCCTCCAACAACTTCACCCTCACCAATTCAACATCTCTTCTCCGCCTCCCTCCTTCCCTCCAGCACCTCTACCTCCATTCCACGGGCCTCACTGGCCCTTTCCCAAGCTCATTCCTTATATCCCATCCCAACCTCCTCCAACTCGACCTGTCACACAACAATTTAACCACCCCCACTGCTGAATCATCGTCCTTCATCCCCTCTAGCCTCCAATTCCTTGACCTCTCCGACAACAACTTCACTGGACCTATCACCTCCCTCCTCCAGATCACATCTCCCACCCCATCATTGATCCACATGGACCTCTCCAAAAACCATCTTGTGGGCACAATTCCGACATTCATCTCCAACTGCACCTCCCTTCAAACACTCAACCTCTCATTCAACCTCCTATCCTCCAGCATCCCTCCTTCCCTCCTCGCCCAGCTTCGAGCCCTCCAGCATCTCGACCTCTCCCACAACCACCTCACTGGATGGATCCCTTCTGATCTCCATGAAGCCTGCGGTTCCCTCCTCGAGATCAAGCTTTCCTTTAACAACATTTCCGGCTCCATCCCCGATTCACTGTCTTCTTGTTCCTACCTCCAGCTCCTCGACCTCTCCACCAACAATATTTCTGGGCCCTTCCCTGATTCTATCCTGCAAACCCTTGGCTCCTTGGAGACTCTGCTGTTGAGCAGCAACCTCATCTCTGGACAGTTCCCGCCTTCACTTTCTTACTGCAAAAACTTGAAGGTGGCCGATTTCAGCTCCAACAGATTCTCTGGCACTTTCCCTCCTGACATTTGCCCTGGTGCTTCCTCCCTCCAAGAGCTGAGATTACCAGACAATCTCATCTCGGGCCCAATCCCGGCTCAGCTTTCTCGCTGCTCCAAGCTCAAAGCCATAGACTTTAGCTTGAACTACCTCAACGGCTCCATCCCTCCCGAGCTTGGAGACCTGGAGAACCTGGAGCAGGTCATTGCTTGGTTCAACGGCTTGGAAGGCGGAATCCCTCCGGAATTGGGGAAATGCAGGAACCTGAAGGATTTGATCCTCAACAACAACCACCTGAGCGGGCCAATTCCGGTGGAACTCTTCGGTTGCAGTAACTTGGAGTGGATATCCCTCACCAGCAATGAGATCAGCGGCCAAATCCCAAATCAAGTCGGGCTCCTTCCGAGACTTGCAGTTCTACAACTAGCCAATAACAGCTTGAGCGGGGAGATACCGCCGGAGCTCGGGAATTGCAGCAGCTTGGTGTGGCTGGATTTGAACAGCAACAAGCTCACGGGTGAGATCCCTCCGCGGTTGGGCCGCCAGCTCGGTTCCAAAGCCCTAACCGCAATCCCTTCCGGGAGCACTATTGTGTTCGTCCGAAACGTCGGGAATTCTTGCAAAGGAGTGGGTGGACTTCTGGAATTTGCAGGGATCAGACCTGAAAGACTGCTTCAGATCCCTACACTCAAGTCGTGTGATTTCACGAGGTTGTATTCAGGGCCAGTGTTGAGCCTTTTCACGCAGTACCAAACCCTGGAGTACTTGGATCTCTCCTACAACGAGCTCCGGGGGAAGATCCCTGACGAATTTGGGAACATGATGGCTCTCCAAGTCCTGGAACTCTCCCACAACCGGCTTTCAGGGGAAATCCCTGCATCCCTCGGGCAGCTCAAGAACTTGGGAGTTTTCGACGCCTCCCACAATCGGCTTCAGGGAGAAATCCCTGATTCCTTCTCCAACCTCTCATTCTTAGTCCAGATCGACCTCTCCAATAACGAGCTGACAGGGCAGATTCCACAGTTAGGACAGTTGAGCACGCTTCCCGCCACCCAATACGCAAACAATCCTGGCCTCTGCGGCGTTCCCCTGCCTGAATGCAGGCTAGTTATGTCCTCCAGCAGCAATCAAGATGCTGCCTCGAGAGGAGCCAGCAGGAGATCATCTTCCAAGGCATCCACGTGGGCCAACAGCGTTGTGCTAGGGGTGCTCATCTCGGTGGCTTCAGTCTGCATCCTTGTGGTGTGGGCCATAGCAATGAGGGTGAGGCACAAGGAGGCACAAGAGGCGAAGATGCTGCAGAGCCTGCAGGCATCCCACGCTGCCACGACGTGGAAGATCGAGAAGGAGAAGGAGCCACTGAGCATCAACGTGGCGACTTTCCAGAGAAACCTGAGGAAGCTGAAATTCTCACAGTTGATCGAGGCCACCAACGGGTTCTCAGGGGAAAGCATGATTGGATGCGGTGGGTTCGGGGAGGTGTTCAAGGCTACACTCAAAGATGGCTCGTGCGTGGCGATCAAGAAGCTCATCCGTCTCAGCTGCCAGGGGGACAGGGAGTTCATGGCTGAGATGGAGACTCTAGGGAAGATCAAGCACCGAAACCTGGTGCCACTGCTAGGGTACTGCAAAGTCGGGGAAGAGAGGCTACTGGTGTACGAGTACATGCCGTTCGGGAGCTTGGAGGAAGTGCTGCACGGGAGGAGGCATACCAAGGGCGGGGCGGATGTGTTGACATGGGAGGAAAGGAAGAAGATAGCAAGAGGGGCAGCGAAAGGTCTCTGCTTTCTTCACCACAACTGCATCCCTCACATCATCCACAGGGACATGAAGTCAAGCAATGTGCTTCTGGATAAGGAGATGGAGGCTCGGGTTTCGGATTTCGGGATGGCACGCCTCATCAGCGCGCTGGACACACATCTCAGCGTCAGTACCCTGGCAGGGACTCCCGGGTATGTGCCCCCGGAGTACTATCAGAGTTTCCGGTGCACGGCCAAGGGAGATGTCTACTCTCTCGGAGTGGTGCTGTTGGAGCTGGTGACAGGGAAGCGCCCCACGGACAAGGAGGACTTCGGGGACACCAACTTGGTTGGGTGGGTGAAGATGATGGTGAGACAAGGGAAGCAGATAGAAGTGATTGATCCTGACCTTCTGCCGACGCAGGTTCGTGGCAGTAAAGATAATCACGACCATCAGCAGCAGCAAGAAGAGGAGGATGAAGAAAAAGAGGCCGGGGAAGAGGTGAAGGAAATGGTGAGGTACCTGGAGATCACGCTGCAGTGCGTGGACGATTTCCCTTCTAAGAGGCCGAACATGTTGCAGGTGGTCGCCATGCTTAGGGAGCTCAACATTACCTCATGAATCATCATCATCTTGATGATGAGCAGCTACCTCGCCACACCTATCACCATGCACACATTTATTCTTCATTTCATTATTTAAAGTGTTTGATACTACTCCCTCCCGACGATCATCACCCTGGAGTTTTTATATATATGCTCTGCCGTCTCCTATCTTATATAATCAAAATCAGCCCATTTTTGTTTTGTGTTAACATATGAATGTCTCGGGCCGGCGAAGGGGATCATTTGACCGTAATTTTTAATGTCGAGCTTGTGAAGTGGTTATAGTAATCACTAATCACAAGTGATCAACGAATAACTAAGCGTTGTTTGACTTATTAGACATTAATTACCACTTTTGGTGTTGCTTGGCTAATTTCTTTACTCTAAATTTACATCTAAACTTAAATACAAAGATTTGAATAAAAAAGCTAACACACAGAGATCTGGGAGAAAAAACCGCAGAGACTGTCATGTTATTAAACCAGATCAACCTATGGCATATCGTAAAATCAAAGTGGAAAAAAAGATAGGAGAGTCAAAACTAGATCGAAAACATAACTAAAACGATTCAATTGAGTCTTTGATTTGTCTATTTCTTCACTTTTATAAAGATCTAATGAGAAGAAAAAATAAAACTTAAATCCAGTGAAACAAAATCATATACTGATTAAGTCGATTTGAACCTAATATCAACTCAAACAAATTGAGCTTAGCTTGTGAAATTGTACATCTTTATTTAAATGTGTGTACCATAACTCAGAGTAGTTTACAATCTCAAATTGAATCGTGAAACTCTAAAGCCAGCTAGGTGAGCGGGGAAATTGAAAGAGAACAAGGAAAAGGTGAAAACGAGATGGGAGAGAAGGAAAAGCAATTTGGGAGCATTATTACTAGGAAGAGGTAGAGAAAGGGCAGTGAAAATAAGGGCAATGACAATGGTCAAGAAGTGCGGTCAAGTCAATTAGCTTAGAGATAATAAAGAAAGTATAGAAATGGTGGGGAAGGGTGCGGGGGTGTGGGGCTATTCCAAGTTTGAAAATGAAATAATATAAAGGGAAGCGTCGGGTGGGGGCGACTTCGAAAGTGATGGTATTGGCTTCTTTTAACGATACATTGATGTCAGAAATGGTATTCGCCCAAAGAAACCATAAAGAAAAAGCTGAGGGAGTAATGGTGCTGGTGGTGATGCTTTGAACAAATAGCAGAGCAATCAATCTGCAGGGGAGGGAAGCTTTTGTCTGCCCTTCATTCCTATCAAACACCTTCCCTTCCCTTCCCTTCCCCTTGCTATATATACCCACATAAATCTCCCACTTTCAGTTTCAATACCCAGAAGCCTATACTGTTGTTCTTAATTTCACTCAATTCATTCTGGAAAAATAAAACCAACAGCAGAAGCAGTGATGGGAGGAGGAAGTACCAGAAGCTCAAAGCTGAAGAAGGTAGCCCGGAAAATGGTGGTGGCAGCATGTGGCTCTTTCTCCTCCTCTACCATGTCTTCTTCTCCTCTTCCTCCTTCTACCATTCATTCTTCCTCTCTCAGTGTAAGTCAGTCCGTCAACTCCACTTCTCTCTTCCCGATTCCATCTTTCTTCTGCTGCTGCATTCTCCAAGGTTTCTCCTTTCCTAACAAACTTGCATGACAGGGTTTATTGTTAGTTAGTTTTCCTCATTCATTCATTCTTCACCTCCTCAATCAAACGCATAATAAAGCATATTCCTTTATTCATGTATTTATCTTCTATATGTGCCTAGCGTGTGTTCTTCGCCCTTGTTAAGCCTTATCAGTCATTTCATACTTCAAATTTTCTGTCTTTGATCATGCAACCAGAAAATCGGCAGATTCGTCTCTCTCGCTCTCTCTCTCTCTCCATCTGTCCCTGTCTATGAATTTCCTGTTCAAATAATTAGTTAGGCGTGAGCTAATACTCTGCTAGTTATGTTGACAGATCTCATCAGTTTGTCCAACAACAGCAGCCTCTTCAACTACAAATAGTCCAGAGGAATACGATGATCAAGACACCATCATCCACAACTTCAAGGGCAACATTACCAGTAACGTGAATTCTAAGGTAAGCAGAAAACTGTTTGTTTCCGTTGTAAAAAGCATTCATCAGCCGTTACATTCACTATAGGAATCCAATGCCTTAACTTTGCCCTGCTGTTCTTTCCCCCTTGCTTTAGCAAGTGATCAATGTTGACATATATTCGTGTTGTCCTCTCTGTTTCCTATTTCTACCTACTTTTCTGGTCTAGATTCTTCCCTGGTTTCCCACTCTATTCTCTTACAAATGAGGCTAGCTACTCCCTTTTCTTTATGGTAATATATAAAATTACAGTAGGAAAAGTTCATCTTCATTCATTCAAGTTCAACAAATCTCTATTCCCTCAAATCACCACCAGAAAATGAAGGTGTACCTATGCTTATACAGTTATACTGGCTCTAAATTAATACCAATTACCCACCGCATGATTTCAGTATGCCATGTGAATGCTCAACATTCTAAACCCTCATCATCATTGCATATCCCACTGCCTTAAAGGTCCCTTCACCCCACAACCCCTATAATAATGATTGCATGAATTCCCACCAAGTCCTGCCGAAACAAACAATCCTAACAATAGGACCACATCAGTACTAGTACAATTTCATATTCTTGTGGCCACAGATTGCACGCGTGCATGTAAAAAGGACTAACAAGTAATGAGTATCGAACCGTGTGTTTGTTAGTGATATCTAACCTTGTGTTATTGTTTCTGTTTGGTGGCAGCAGAGCATGTGTGCAATATGCCTAGAAGCTTTGAACTACAGCAACGGGGACAGTCCAGGCCAAGCCATATTCACAGCTCAGTGCTCCCACGCCTTCCACTTCGCCTGCATTTCCTCCAACGTCCGCCATGGCAGCGTCACCTGCCCCATCTGCCGGGCCCATTGGACCCAACTCCCCCGCAATCTCAACAACCCACCTTGTTGCCTTCCCTCCACCCAAAACGACCCGGTATTTCAGATCCTCGATGAGTCCATAGCCCATTTCCGCGTCCACCGCCGGTCCTTCCTTCGCTCCGCCCGTTACGACGACGACGACCCAGTTGACCCGGACCACATCCCCACCATTTCCCGCCTTCATTTCTCCCTGCAACATCACTCACAGCTTCTACCAGGAACATCATCTTCGCATTTCAACAGAAGAATGACAGCGGCTAATGCTACAGCTACTGCTTGTCTTTCAGTGAAACTGATAAACCAACCAGCAACCGACTTGGTCCTCGTTGCTAGCCCCAATGGTCCACATTTACGTCTTCTCAAGCAGTCCATGGCATTGGTTGTCTTCTCTCTTCGACCGATCGACCGTTTGTCCATTGTGACGTACTCCTCCGCTGCAGCCAGAGTCTTCCCTCTGAGGCGAATGACGTCATACGGCAAAAGAACAGCACTTCAAGTCATCGACCGGATATTCTACATGGGGCAAGCTGATCCAAGTGAAGGGCTGAAGAAGGGGATCAAAGTGCTGGAAGATCGTGCACACAAGAACCCACATTGCGGCATCTTGCATCTTTCGGACACACCAACAAGAGCATGTCATGTTGTAGCTCTGCATACTTCATTTCCGGTCCATCGGTTCCATGTGGGATTCGGGTTTGGTGCTTCGAATGGGTTCGTGATGCATGAGTTTGAGGACTTCTTGGGGGGGATACTTGGAGGTGTTATAAGAGATGTTCAGCTGAGAATCGGTGGCGATAGGAGCAAGATCATGAAGCTTGGTGACCTTGGAGGTGGTGAAGAGAGGCGGTTCCTGTTGGATTTGGGAGATTATGGGGAGGTGATCTCAGTGGAGTACAGCTACAATGAGGGTGGGATTGATGAATGTACAAGGACAGGCGAAGCTGTGGTGAGTTTAGGAGAGAAAAGTGAGACTCATGGTAGTGACGTGGAAGCTTCTGAGAGGGATGCGAGTATGGTTAGTGGAAGGACTAGTAGTGTTGAGAGCTGGGATTACCATAATCCGTACATGGCTAGAAGATGGGCTAAGCATTTGCATGGCTACAGAATGTGAGATGACAACCAGAAGTTCGAGACGTCTACGTCCATTTATGAGCACAACAATTTCTGGAAGGCGTCTGATAGGCGTGTCCAAACCAACCAAGCTGCAAGCTGCGCAGAATACAAAAATAGAAAAGTCTGTATAAGGGTGTATAAAATGATTCTATATGGACATGGAACAACGCATACAATTAATGGAAATTTCAATTCTTTTCTATCTGATTTTCTCATCAGTGATTCAACTTAGTTTCCCTGAACTATCAGAAAATAAGTTATCCATCACATACTAACAAGTGAATCCATTGATCGGGAAAAGAAATGATTCCGAGCCACTTCACCTAGGCCCTCAATGGAATATCATCTTGATACGCTAGTTCAGGGATGGTTGTTGGAGCATCATCATTGCACTCTTTGATCATGGGTAGCATCATCTCCTTAACGAAGCTAAAGATTTCTTTAGCTTGCGGATGGAATCCGTCTCCAACCAAAAACATATGCTTCTTCCCTACACTCTGTATCTAACTAAAGCCTGGTTCTTTCTTGACATCACATTCCTTCATCTTTTTTCTTAATTGTGCAAACTCGCTCAACTTACTACCTGGTCCATATATTAGCCAACAGCACGTAACGCCCAGAGTTTGTTAGTTCCAACTTGTTTAGCTCGTCAACCATCTGAGTTGTCACTGCCACATCCCCATGCAATCTACAAGCACTCAACAATGCTCGTAATACAGCACCAACGAGCTCATGCCGCGGTATTTTAGAAACCACTTCCATGACTTTACTCACTTGCTGCCCTACCTAGAATGTCCACAAGGCACCAATACTGCTCAGCACTTGGTTCTACTCCATATATACCACTCACTGAATCAAAAAGCTGTTGACCTCTCTAGACAAGACCTGCGCGGTTACACGCTAATAAGACTCCAAGATATGCAATTTTTTCAGTTTGCATCCAGATCTCAGAAAGTGTAAGTGTGCAAAAACTAGCAGTGCATGTTGAGCATATCCATGGTTTGAGTAAGCTAAAAGCATTGCAGTCTGAGAAACTGTCCTTGAATTCGATCTGGTAAAAAGCAAACCTAGCTGATTGGAGATCCCCACATCTGGAATAAGCGGTGACAAGAGCATTCGCTAGAAATAAGTAAAGCTCAAACCCATGAAGGACAATGAAGGCACGAGTCTGTATGAGCTCCAATATGGAGTTGCAGGAAGACAAGATGCTAGTCAGAGAAGATTCATACGGGTTGCAACTCGATTGCAGCATCAGGGAGACATGATGCAAGGCTTGACCTTGAGAACCATTTCTTGCATACACATCTAGTACAGCATTCCAATTAACAATATTTTTTATTGGCAAAGAAGTGAAAAGCTTACTAGTTTCAGCTACAATGCCATGTTCAGCATATGCTGTGATCATGGAGTTCCATGCGTCTGTGTCCTTTGTAGGCATTGCATTAAAATATTCTCCATCAAAATCCCGTGCTTGGCAGACTACTGACCATTGTCGTCCAAGATATCTCATTCTTTTGAGGCATGGAATTAAATAGCTGAACTGCTTCGTCCAGTCTATTAGCAGAAAGAAAACCGAACAGCATAATTTTTCAAGAACATGGATTTCTCTGAGGCATCAAGTTGAAAACTTGACAAGGCTCATCAATTTGGTCCACGTCAGTGCACGAATTGACCCTTATAGTCCAAGAAACGACATTTCTATGAGGCTTCAGATCAAAAAATTGACGAGCTTGATCAATGTGACCATTCTGTTTACAACCCGCAACAGTAACCGTCCAGGACACCACATTCTTGTCCGACATTAGATGAAAAGGACAAAGAACCTCATCGACATCCCCAATCTTTAAACAGCCGGAAACCAAACTGGTCCAAGAGAAGACATCTCTATCCCTATGCACCATGCGATCAAAAACATGACCAGCCTTGTGGACATTCCCATTTACCAACCTCGACAAGGCCACAGATCGCGGTGGGGGGGATCAGCGACAAAGGTTGAGTCATTCATAGCCGAAAACGAGCTTCCAGATTGCAGAAACACACGATTGTGCACAAGGCCAAGCGGAACACGGATTGTGGGTATGAAAAAGTTCGGTGAGGCATTTCGTCGAACAGCTTGCTTGCATGTTGCACTCCAGCGAGGTGAGTAAATAGCCGGGAGGCAGAGGCGGTAGATGAGCAGCTGGGTTCGAGTCGGGAGTGGAGAGGGAAGAAAGAGAGGAGAGGTAGCTGCGATTCATCCCAAAGACAAAGAGACAGAAACTTGGGGCGGCGGAATTCAACTTGAAGGCCATCCCGTCACTATCGTCTACATCTGGCGGGAATTTCAGCAAATGCTAATAAACTACTATACTTCCTTCCCGCGCTTCTTTTTCAGCCTTGGAAACTGGAGGGCCGGGCCTGCATTTCCTCTTGTCAAATAAAAATGGGCTCACAAGCCCAAAAGGCTTATTCGTTTAATATGGACTCACAAGCCCAAAAGCCTTATTAATTTGAGGATTTAACTCAAACATGCATGCAGTACATATAACCACGTACGTACCACGTTATTTTTAACTTAACCGCTAATTGATTCTACATTTCCACTTAATAACCCTCCATTCCTCTTTAATCCAATAACCGACGACAGTTAATGACCGATGGAGCGGCAAAGAACCCTAATAGCCTCGCAAAGAACCACCAGCACCTTGTTCCGATTCCCCATGGGCTGCCACGTGGACTTGGAGAATGCAGCGTCGCATCTCCTAGCCTGAGCCGCCACCTCCGCCGCCTGTGACGCCAGCGCGCCGTACGACTTGTCGCTCAACGCGCTGCTGAGAAGCAACATGTCGTAACTGACCGACAGGTAACACATCTCGCATATGTGCAGCCGCTTTTGCCCGGCCCGGCCCACGGGTTGGTTCGTGAGGTCGGAGATGTAGATGTAGGTCGAACCGGATGTGTTGCCGACCAGCCGGACAGCTGTACCGACCATCGTGGTCTCGTTGGTGGTGGTGGCGGTTTGTGGGTCGGCGGAGAACGCCTCCACGCAGAGAGAGGGCGAGGAGGTTTGGTTGCAGATGTCATGGACCAGCGGCGACGGCGGAGATGGGACGGCGGCGGCGGCGGTTAAGAGTACGAGGAGGAGTGGAGTGAAAGGGAATGATAAGGAGGAAGGCATGTTATTGTACGTACGTTGTGGGCTCGTTGAGTTTGATTTGATCGTTCTTTTTGTCCTTTTGGAGGGGCGAATGGAGTGGTAAAGGATATTTAAAGGAGGCATTATCGCCAATTGGAATTTTAATTTAGTGGCCACTTATTTTATTGCATTGAACATGATGTGTTGGGTTGTGAACAAGGTAATTAAAGGAGAGATTAACTATTTGGTGCAATGGTTCCTAGATCGAGTACTGATGCATGTGTTATGTTTTGTACCAAGCTTTTGCGCGACTTCACCTTTCTTTTGTAGTGCAGATGTAATCAATTATTGGGTAATGTGTATTTTTTATTCAAAATTTTTTTAAATTCTTTTATGTTATCCAAATCTATTGAGATACTAAGAATCAGCCAAATGTTAACTTTCCGTTAACAATTCTTTTAGTAATATTGACTTGGCAATATAATACTGACTTGGAAGAGACACATGAAGGTCAACATTCTGAAATTTTAGTATTTTAACTAAACAAAGAGTTACAAATTTATTAACTAAAAATGATTAATATTTTGATGTATTATGAAAGATTTGGTTAATTAATAGCATTTTAATAGGTCTGGATAATATAAAAAAAATCTGAAAATGTTTGGATAAAAAAATAGAGATTACCCTTAATTATTTTAAGTTATCATGCTCAAACATAGAGAGAAAGTATGATAGTGGTTGAGACTCAAGTTTGAATTAAATCGAAGTGAAAATCTTTTATATCAATACGATCTGAAATTAACTTTGTCACTCGATATTGTCACATTTCAAAATTATGTCGAGTTTTGAAAATATTAACGTTGAATGTTGTACATTGATACTCCAGTTTGTATAAATGGACACTAGTGTCGGCAATCCTACATTTGTTCATCTTTCTTTCTGCCGCAATTCAATTATGAGAACTTCAGTGTTGTTTTGGTTTACGTGAAAAAAAAACTGTGATGGCAATTTCAACCCGCCCCGCGGGTATTACCCGACCCAACTCGCGATGGGGCGGCGGGTATTACCTGACCCGCAGTAGCGTGGGGCGGAGCATGGGTATCTACTTCCGACCCGCCCTACCCTGCCCCGCCCCATTCTAGACTCATTTTATCTCAATTTCTTACAATATCTATACATATTTCTCCTATTTTTACTTTTCTTCAACTAGTTAGAGTCGATCTTTCAACTTGTCAGGCTCAATTATCCATTCTATTATCAATATTTTTCATTTTTAAAGTGTTTTTCCCTACGTTTTATTGTAAAAAGTACCCCACCCCGCTCCATTACCATCACTACTTTATGGTGAAAACTGAACTTGTATCTATAATGTTATGGTACAATTAAAATCAGTTAGTACCTCTATCTTTTTTTACAAATATATGGTACAAACTGAATTTGTACATGTATATTAGTACAAACTAAACTTGGTCATAACATAAAAAAATACAAATTCATTTATGATACAAATTAAACTTGTAACTTCAACGTTATAGTACAAGTCAATCTATATCTCAAAGTACCAATACTTTAATTTAGAGTATAGTAAAAATTGGTCTATTCAATTATAGCCTTATATATTATATTAAGAAAACGGGCTAAGTGTTTGGTTAATGTTGAATTGTTCTTGCATTAACATACTCTCATCAGTCATCACATGTTCTGTATTGTCAAAATCAAAAGGACACTCACATGTTGTGTTCATCACTTCATCCTCCATTTTCCCCACTTTCTATGTCTCTTTTCCATTTTGGGTAGCACGGGTAAATTTCATTTACCTTTCCTAATGTTTTGACCAAACAGTAAGAAGAGGGTTCTTGAATTTGAAACACTACTTATTGAGAATTTGGGTGCAAAGGAACAATCTAATGTATTAAAATGATTTGATACTTACCCGTGTGTAAGTCCTAGCATTAGGATAGTCAATGCCGTGAAACGTAAATATACATAATATTTGTGGAGATTAATGATCCTATAAAAACAGGATAATCCATAACATGAAACTAAAATATACATAATGTTTGTAGCGATAAGTGGTTTATAACGAGACGTAAGGGTAGAGTGGTAACACAATACTCAAACTACCAACAGGCAAATTCCCTGATCATGGGTACACATAAAAATAGCAACTAATTAGAAGGCTCTACCGGTTAAACCCTAAACATGACTGAAGGTAGTTTTCACATTAACAATCAAGTAAAAGCACGACGCCGGGCAACAATCTACACGCAAAAATTTCCCTTTTCTCGTTCCCAATTTCTGTATTGCTTCTGCATCAACTAGAAAATTGTGGCACCCACAACCAAAAAAAGTACATACCCCAAATGCAAATAAATACATTATTGAATCCCCATGGTGGGCATTGCCAATTGAATTTTGCCTCTTATCAATCTTGCTGTTCTGTGGTTACCAAGCTTAGCCCCCTCTCGCAGCACGTTTCGTCCCACGTTTCGCTCCATAAGGGGCTGCTGCCGACGGCAGAAACTAAGTTATTCTATATGCTTTTACAAATGAAGATCCTTCCTCTCTCCATCCACACTGCATCTGGTGTAGCAAAACAGACCAAGGTACTGCATACATGCAGAATGTTTGAAGACATTGTATGTTAATTTCCTCCTCCCAAGTAACCATCAAAACCCACATCAACCTAAATGTAATATCGTTCTCCGCGGCTTTTGGTTAAACACAATTACCAGATAAAAGAATTACTTCCATCAAACAGTAATGCATGTGTTCTTCCCTCCCATTGCGCAAAACATACAACAATTAGAGAGGCGTACCAGATGATGCATCAGGCATTTTGTTGGACCTGCCGATGTAGTTGGACCAACCAGTCAACATAACCATTTGTCCCGCCTGTCTGGTCCTCCACTAATTTTGTGAGTACCATAAAGCCTTCTCTGGGTTGCTCACCTTGCCTCACAAGATGACACAACTGATAGTACGACGGATCGCTCTCCCTTAACTTTTTGAGCAATAGCATTAGCTTTCTTGACATTTCTGTTTCACGCTCCACGAGTGTAACCTGATCAATAATGTAGAATCATAATAGGGTCAGTCAACACCAGGCAATAAGAAGATCGACCAGTATTCAATAGGACGATCAGTATTCAGTGATACTTCGCGCGACCAGTGGCGCATCCATGAAAAGCAGCAACGTAAGTTTTAAATGCATACACTACAAAGAGTAAAGGCAGCATACCCTTGATAGCTCAGCTGCAGCATCTGGCCCCAATAGATTCATAGCTATATCAGGTGATAGCATTCTTCCAAACCATAGAACTAGCTGAAGGCCGTCATCGTATACATAAAGGCCTCTAGAATCAAGGCTGTCTGCTGTCAGAGGCAATCTCTTCATCACCTTTCTAAACTCATCGGCATTGGCAGATGGCTGCACAAAAGATGTTGCACAGGACTTTATATTCACAAAAAATGAACGGAAAAAAAAAACAGAAACTATATGACAGATCCAGGGATAATTTTCCTCTCACCTTCAAGAGATAGTCATCTAGTTGAATTAAGCTGGGATACAAAAGTTTTAACAAACTTTTAACAGGTAATGCCATCATTGTAAATCCTGCAGCACATCGCTCATCAAGTGGAACATCTGCATATCCTCCTCGGAGCGGTGTTGATTTACAGAGGGCCAATCCATACAATGGTAAGAACTTCAAAGACTCTGGATATATCAGCCGACCTCCTAACCGATGTTGTACAGCATAAAGATTTCGGTATTCCCTGAGAGCTTTGACAATCCTTAGATGTACATTACTGCGAGCATCCTCCAGTTTACTGGACATTGTTTTCTCGATTGCTGCAATTATTAGAAAGGTCAGAATATGTATATCCTCAATCCGAAAGAAAATCGGTACAAAAAGCCAACAAAAGTGCAATCTGCAATTACCTAGACGACTAAGCAAAGAAACAATAGCACCATTGTCAGCCTGACGATACATCTCCCCCAAATCTGAGACAACTGGGGCAGCGGCAGTGTGTACTCTTATACGCCTCTCTCCACAAGAGGCAGTATATCTTTATATAGTTAAGGAAATGCACAATCACCCATCCACCAGTCACCTAGTAAGGTTAAGCATTCTCTCAAACAGAACTGACAGAATGTCAGCAAATATAATTTAGTGAAAAGGAGATACGGATAACAAGCCTACTGCAAACTTGGGAAAATCCCTGCCTAAGTGGGAAATATCTCTACCTGGCCATGGAATCAGGACTAGAAACAATCAAATGGAGATATGTTCTCGGATTATCCTGGTCGCATTAGTAAAATAAAAAAGTTCTAAAAAAGACTCATTTTCACACGGGAATAAGAACAACGTTCTTTAAAAAACTATGTTTTGCAAATCAGCAGTGCTGTATCCAGAAAGCAAGTATTAAGCTAAGATGATGAATTGATGTGACGCAATTTTGGTGAAAGGATACAGCAAAGCAACTTGGAAATATACAGTTTGATTCGTCAGTAATGTCTCCTCCAGTGATAACTGCATTGCATATGCCTTGTCACAATCAACTGCTGGAAGCGCCACTAGATCTGTGGACCTTAACATGAAGTTCCCATGATAGGATGTAAACCTAATTCCTGCATTATACAGGTACAAAGAAATATGAGCTCTCTGCCCATTCTTAGGG